TGATATTGGATACAGACACTAGATATAAAAGCATATGCAAAATAGATAAACGCTGTGCCTAGGCTTATTGCTATTCAAAAAACAAGTGCTTTCCGAGCGACATAAAGCGACGCTGCTGAAGTTCTATCTAGTCTGCCATCCATGACATCCAGGGAGACAAATTCGTGCGATTGAACCAGCTAACAGAGACGTTTGTACAAAAAAAGGGGAGTGGCAGCAAGGGTGGCAAGCCTCAACCAAAGGGCAGTGACAACATGGGGACCTAGACTTCCACATAGCCCAAATACCGAGTAGACATAAATACTTTAAATGCTATCTGTACCGATTCCAACACGAGTTTAGCCCGTACTGTCCGACGTGTACAGAGTGCATAAAAAACTGTGAGCATGTATTTTTTCAAAGTCCTCATTCTTGAAATATTAGGGAAATATCTAACATTTCGCTTGGCGGTAGTTTGTCGGTGGGAAACTTGACAGCACTCATGCGCCAATCTTCTAGTATATGGAAAGCTATCAGAGAAGCGTTAGCTCTAGTTATGACAAAACTAAGCAATACTATATATAATACATTATCCGTCAGTTAGTCCGTATGATAGATGAGACTTAAATTCTAAATGGGAGACTCTAAAGAGCAATCGTTACTGATATTTTCGTAACTGAATTGGAGGATGTTGATTGGACCGCAAGCAAGTTGATTGAAGAAAAATTTTGGTGAACGCATTATTGCGGGTCATGGATGATGTGAAGTAGCTTGTTTACACAGGTAAGGCCGAGACAATTGCCACCTTAGAAAAGAATATTTTGCTGCTTATTGTTGACAAATGGAACCGTCGCAGCGTAATTGACTGAGTTGATTAGCCATGTATTTGTCTGATTGCTGTATGTATATACGCTAACTAATCCCCCAGTTTTTGAGATATCTATTTGGAATTTTGCAAACGTCATTTTCTCCACAAGAAGCAGCTAATTTGTTTGGACCTTCTGTATCGAACCACTATAGCATATTGCTGCCATACAAGCTGAACAATCGGTATCAAATTCTTGTATGAAATATTTTTTCATTCATCCTCAATAAAATTTGCAGTGTCAATGTTACAATCTTCGAAGAAATTTTTCAGATTTAGTCACTATATAATATAGCTGCCATAAAAACTTAATGATCAAAGTTCCAGTAAGGAAACCTACATATTTTTTTTTTTCTGTTTTTTAATAAAAGTATAAATATGGCATATAGACTGGGTTATGCCTCTTGCCTGGAGTAACTATACTTTCAAATGATAACAATATCTTGATTGATGAAATACATACTATTTTCTGAAATCTCCTTCATAAAAGTTCAGTGCATATCGTCACCTAAAATGCAAAACAACATATCATCAAAAAATCAAAATTGAGTTTTTTTATTACTTACGGTTCACTCCCCATCTTACATATTTGTATACATCAAATTTTAAGCTTCATTTATCAGATATAACCAATATGTAACCAATACATAAACAATATATAACCAAAACTCAAAATGTTTCTTCCAATATGATTGGTGTATTATAACGTTTTTCCTTCGCCTGCAAACTTGTGAAAAGTGATGTTCCTTTTTTGTTTTTTTTTTTTGCATTTTAGGTGACGATGTGTAAGTCTTTAAATACACAACCTGGACTTACTAACATATATAAATATTTCTGCTTTATACATATACAACAAACACTTCTTATCAACATGTTGCCAGTGTTGCACAACCACTTAAATGGAAAAGTTACAAGTGTATTACACTTATGGACTCAACAGCGGCCACTTCAACTTCAACTTCAACTTGTTGCCACTTCACTTTCTGGCACTCGAACACTTCGCTCGTTGTTCTACGAGCGTATGTATGTGTATCTGTATATGTGCACTGCTTGTTGCACATTGCACTTAGTCACTTGACGGCGTGCTGTTGCCTGCACCCCTTTACAATAGAAAAACAACTAATCTGCAACGCGATGGAACGCCAATCTGCACCGACTTAATGAAGTAACAAAAAAAAAAAAAAGAAAGGCGCTGCAAAAATACGGTAAGCAAAAACAAGAGAGCGGAAAGATTGGTTGAAGCAACAGGCACACAAAAAAGGCGCGGTGTTGCAAGAATGGCAAGACAAAAATTTCGACAATGCAACACTAATTGCGCGGCAATGGCATAAAAAGCCGTAAAGCTGAGGCAAGCAAGAAAAGGATAACGGCGTCAAAAAAGGACAAATCAAAGGAAGTGCTTTGGCGCTGGCTTAGCGTTGACTTTAAGCTTGAATTGTGGGGAAGTAAGGAGGTGGGGAGGTGGCGAGTTAAGTAGTAAAAAGCGCTGGCGACACATTGCCGCCACTTGCATTTAACTAATAAAGCCAGCGGCGTGTGTTGGTTGTTGCTTAGGACAGCAGAAAGCAGAAGGGAACTTGAGGAACGCGAGGAAGGGGCAGACAATTACTTAAATGCCTTTGCTCTTGCCACTTTCAAACACAACAACTCGCCACGAATTGACACAATTTTAAAGATCTTTAATAAGCAGCAAGAAAATGCCTGCATTTATGGAAATTCGGACCAAGCAAGGCTGCTACAAGGCATTGGTAAACAAACGAAGTGGCGCAAAGCTTTATAATATTTTTAGTTTATTTCAACGCGCCATAAATTTGATATTTCATGCACGTACAAAAAATTGAAATTTTTACAACTCGAATTTATTTGTCCACCATCCTCAGCGCGCTTGTACTTCCGGTCTTCGTATTTCACACGGCAAGGACTTTTGCTTTGTGGGAATACCATATTCAAATGCCATTTAATAAAACTGTTCATATCTCCAGTTGACAATTGTCATGCTTTGTATGCAACAAAAATACTCAACCTCTCTATAATAGCAGCCAATAAAGCGTTTCGACAATTGGCAGCTTAAATGACGGTTTCTTTGGTGGTTATTGCGGCTTTTTATAGTCAGACATTTACCGCGTCTCTGAGCATGAATTGACCGCAGTGGCAAACAAAACGCGCTCCCATACTGCGCTGAGTTATAAGGGGTGGTTAGTCAATAGCAAGCGTGAGCTTTGGATTTAATATCGGTCATCTTGCTAGAGAAGTAAAAGATGTTCTTCACAGCATGCACAACATTGCAAAGAGGCTAACAAGTAGCCAAAAAGCCTTTGAAATAATATTTTCAACTCATCACGAAATGGGAATGTAAATTGCGACTCGTTGTTTAGCTTATCAGCCACGAATCCCTTGTGTGCCACAGTGCCAGCAGTGCTGTGCTACTTGCAGCATCAATATTCGCGGCCCAAAGTGCGATGGCACGTCTTCGTCACAGACGACAAATGAAAAATAGTTATAAAACGTTTGATGAATACCAAAAGCAAGTCGCCAATTGAATTGCGTGTAAACTTTTCAAATTACGACCGAAGTGCCGCTGGTCGCAAGTGCCGGCAAGCTCATCCATAGCAATTCGCTTGGGATGTGCTGAAGTCTGTACACATTTGACCAGCGCTTGAGTAGCGTGTGGTGTTGTAGCCAGCGGCTGAGCGTAACACAATGTGCTGGCATCTCGGCACTTTGCGGAGATTTGCTTTGGTTTTGACAATTTCATTTGAGTTAAAAATAAACTAGCTCGTTTGCACTTAATTTCATTTCTAACGATTTCGAGCAACTGTACGCGGATGAGGTGCGCCTTGTGTCACTACTGCCCACCCTGTATTGGTTTTATAACTCGCGAAGGAATTTTAATTGCTTAATTATGATTTTTGTATTATGATATATAATATATATTTTAGGTCAAAAAGTTAGAAAGACTATTTGAAGTACTTACTGCATTGAATGATAAGGTAAGGTTATATTAAATGGTCAATGGTACTTGGACAGCTTATTGTCGGTCCGTTTTGGTACCTAGAAGTAGAACTTTTATATTGACCATAAAGGTTCTCATAAATCAACGGAACTCTTTGAGTTGGGGGGAGTTTCCTTGATAGAAAGCTTTCATGATATTCAAGTATTGATGAGAGGGTAAAGAAGGCATCAGTTACCTGATACCGATACTGTAAAGAAACTATAGGAAGGAAGTGGGGTTTACCAAAAGTGGTGTTTTGCTTCTGCGAAACTGTAGTTAAGCCAAAGCTGCATCTTTTAGTCGGTCTTACGTAATCGAAATTGACCAGGATATTATCAGGCCAAGGACTATTATTTTGGAGATCTAACCCCGTTTAGAAGATCTTAGCATCTCTCATCGGCATATATCACCTAATTCAGTCCTACACATAGCACCCGTGTATACCCGACAGGAGCACTGTTGCGAATATTATTCTGGGTCAGAGAAGCTGGGGTTATGAAGGGGCTTAAACAAAGCTACTCCCTTCAGTTTTTATCCCTGAAAACTTGGATAACTTCTTCGTACTGCTGGTGGCTGTTCTCAACTAACAAACCGACGAGGGATATGTGGACCGAAGGAAGTCATTGAGCATTCACTTTGACAGCAAAACGATAATACTAGCGTTGAGATCGCAAACTGTAAGCTCACAGTTAGTCAAAGAGCTAGACGCTCACTAGATATTGCATAAAAATACTTCGTTATCAGACCCGTTTCGGAGCGTGGCCGTAGCTTAATCGCTAAAACTGCACCTGCGAGACTCTTCTAGTAGAACGTAGGAGATCTACTGAACCCCATACCCTTAGTAACGTTCATTTTGCCGCAATCGTAAGAGCTCTTACTGGATATTGCACAGTTGGTATTCATGCTGTAGGACAAACTGTCGAAGTTGTTAGGTAGAAATTGAAGTGAACACATTCAGACACTCTCTCCTCTAAAGTCTATCTTTGGCAGGACTGAGTTTGAAAAATTGCAGCAGTCACACCTTCGGCAAACCAGTATAAGAGTACAGAGCCGAAACTGACATTGACCGCTTCAGCAAATCTGTGAACGGCTCCGGTTTTCCGAACTTTTAAAACTTTAATGAATTTTTCTTTTAAGGCCAAAATTTGACAGTTCAAGACTCACCTGTTCTGCTATGCAACCGAAATCTGCAAAAAAAAAAACAAAAATCAAATGCGTTATCACCTAACTTCATACAATTTATTAACAAACCACAACAATTAAACAATTGGCGTTAGACAGATTCATAAAAGAAGTTCAAAAAACCATTAGCTAGAAGTGTTTGTGATAAAGCTAGAGCATTCAGCTCGGAACTGAAATTTTCGAAATAATGAGTGTAGCGAATTATCATCACTTATGTACTTAAAACGGATTTGAAAGACTTAAAATTAAGAAAGGAACATGATCTAATTACAGCTAAAGTGCTACAGCGGTTACCATACAAAAGTTTACTAAAGCCCACCCATCTTCTCAATTGACAAAATTGAAATTGACTGAGAGTAGACTACCATATAGTCTCGCTGTTTCCACAAGTCTCAAAATTTCTTGAAAAATTAGTTCCTCAGAGCTTAAAATATATAATCAATAAAAATCACTTAATCACTTTAGTTTGGCTTTAGAAACTAGCATTTAACAATCGAACAAATTCATAGAATAATATTCAGAATAAAAAATGTTCAGGACGAAGGAAATTGTGTTCAAAGGTATTTACTGAAGTTGCGTAGGCGTTCGACAAGGTATGGTGCGAAAGCCTGATGCACAGGAATTACTTCTTTAAACTATAAGAATTAGAAGCAGGCAAAGTAAGGATTACTCTGATATATTTTGTTTTGACTTACTGTTAACACTAAATAGTATAACTGCCGCTTTTTTAATGAGTATTTTGTTAACAAAATAATTAATCTGATTCCAGGTTAAGAAATTTATTGTTTTTCTTCGTTTAAAGAGGACTACCATCTGATCAAATTTAACCGAACTGGTACATTTAAACAGCAGCAGCAAATCGAATCGATTATGTCACGAAATGTTTGTCTGACGTCTGTTTCCAATGAAAACTCTGTTACATAATAGTTGAAAATGTTGCAGAATTGTTGTAGACTCCATACACACCTCACCTACCTACCTACTCTACTCTACTTCATAGCACAGCCACACCTAAAATATCTGGGAGTAATAATTTACTCAAGGCTCAAATTTGATGATCGCCTGGAATACACTACAAGAAACGGGAATAACCTTAACGAATTATCAAAAACTATGCAAATAAAGGCTGCGTGGGTTCCAGCCGAATATTTACTCGCAAAGGTAATGAGATCGGTTGCGTTATTCGGCTCGAATTTGGATTAGGCATTAAGACATATGCCAGGCAAATAAGCACAGTGCGAGGGCTGTCGGTACTAAGAGTTATCAGTGCTTTTCAAACAATATCAAGTGACTCCGCTAAAGTAATATCCCAATATGATGCCCATTGACATCCAACATGACGAATACGAGCGAGTAAACAAGTTGTCAGAGAAGTATATAGGAGCCAAAAGAGAAGAGAGAGTCAAATATGGCAGCAGCGGGGGTAAACCTTACTTAAAGGACGGTGGATCTATAGACTCCAGTATCAGTATATAGATTGTATTTGTGGATCGACAAACGACATGAGGACCTGTGAATTGTCCGACATGTTCTGAGTGCTTTGAAGATTCGGAGTATGTATTTTTTATTTTAATCTTTGAGATATTGAGGGAGAGGACGTAATAGAACTCGGTGAATATACTACTTACACAGTATTTAGCTCTTCATTACCAAAGAAATGTACAATAATATATAGAACGATCCTGAGACACCACAAATTATAATAAAACATATTTCGATAGCAAATTTTTTCTACGAATAATATTTTCCTAAAAAGTTTTGCTCCTTAATTTTTATTTTAAATATTTATATTAACACAAGCGACACTATACAGCAGGTGAACTTGACAAGTTTTATATTAATATTACGAAGGATTTATGTAAGCAGTTTTTTGATATATATGGTATAAGCAAATCAATCTATGTAAATGTAATCAAAAAGCAGTCAAAGTTTAACCAGCGACAATTTAATTTAAATAAATCCAAAACAATCTGAGTTTACATATTTTAGTATATGATTTTAGTATTATAAATGGCATATAATTTGCATGTAGAGTCATAAATTGGCGCAAACGCAACAAACAACAACAAAATGATAGAATTTGAAGAGTGAAAGAAAGAAAAACTTTATCTTTTTAACAATAACCTTAAAAGTATTTGCCATCACTCAAAAGGTATGCAAAGTCGATGATAAGTGCATACATACATTCTTACATATGAGTATACATATAATCACGCACACCTTTACCGGTTTTGGAAAAACTTTAGAGTTTCGAAAGATTGTTGTGTTGTGGTTAGAAGACTGAAAGAAATATGTATAACGTAGCTGTTGAGTTGAGCGGCAGAAAAGTTGAAATGAAGGCCAAGCAACTGCATGGCAACAGCCGAAAGGGATGCAATTTATAAAACTAAAATGAGCAAAAATAATAAATAAATAAAAGTAAAATGAAAAAAGTTRTGCAAAATAAATAACCAATATAACGAAAAACTCACGATTTAAACTTTGTTTGCGATAGCAACCCTGCGGTTATATAAGCAATCAGTAAACTGGCGCTGAGTAAGTGCCAGCGTAAAGGAATTTGCAAAATTGTGAAAGAAAAAGTTTTAAATTTTAATACATATGGAAATGTGCGAATTTCAAAAATTAATGTATCGAAATATTAAGCTTTGTTTTAATATATAATATTTGTATGTAAGATATTCTTACCATAACACGTCTGCAACTAGTTAGTGTCTTTTTAAGAAATATATACAGCGCCAACATAAAACTAATGTGGATTCCAGGCCACGCCGGCATACGCGGGAATGAACTGGCAGATAAACGCGCTAAACTAGCGGCTAGTGAACCGCTCGTTACGTTTGACTTTCTTGAGAATAAAGACTTATATAAGATGGCACACCAACACCAACTTAAATCGCTAATGGAGAGTTGGAGA